TAATATGCTATCTAGGCTTGCCATAGCTTTCCTCCCAAGGAGCAAGCGTCTTTTAATTTCATGGCTGCAGAACTTGCTGAGTTCTGTAATAATCCTTGTGATTTTCCATAGCTGCTTAAAAGCAAAACGTTATGGTTGCTACTTAAGATTTCAATATAGAGCAATATTAGGATGTTAGATTTGATACAACAGTTGCCAGCTGAAACCGATGATTTGTTTTAGTTAAGAAAACGATGCTGTCATTTATGACTTGAGGTTTTATGATATTTTATTATGGGCTTTTTTGGTTAGCCACCTCAAATCGATGACTGGGCCAGCATACAAACACTGTAAACAAACTAGAGCATGAATTAAAAATTGTGCCTGGTTCTCTTTATTTTCTTGAACTAACAGTAATTCGTGACTTTAGTATGCATATGTTACAGTAATCTCAGAAATCAGATTATATATACATACCATTTTCAAATGAAATTGAACACTTACACAAATATTCAAAATATCTGAACACTGTAAATGTTTAAAAATGCAAATATTTCAGGAAGCACAGAGAACCAAAGTCACGTGCAATAAATGAGGCACAAGCTTGTTTTTACATATTCCTATAACCTGAGAGTGTTTAAATTGAAATATCAACACTTATTGTTTTGGATTTGCGCCAATACATGTAAACCCATTTAATTAGGTATAATGGCAGGGTATTATGTGTTGAACCAGGGAATATTCCCCCCAATACAGAGGCTGCTGGGCAATGACAAGCTGCATTCCTTAAATGATGCCAACGATGGTAAGTCAAAATCTACAAGATGAAGGGCGTGGCATTGTGAGTGAAGCCCCGCCCCCTTGTATCACCATGTTGCATGTCCGTAAAAAAATGGCAGGGCTTCAAGCACAATACTAAGCCCACTGTCCTGCAGATTTTGATCCCCCTCTGCAGATGCCCCTCAATAACCTTATTTTACTTGCTTCATTGTGAGCAAAGAAAGTACTTGCTTTGACATTATTTGAACAGCAGCCTTGGAAACTATTTCCTTTCTATCCAGATTAAGAAATATTTTGAAATCCTATAGGTCTTTCATAGATGCCAGTCATTCTATTACCCACCTAAAAGAAGTAGAAGTAGAAATGGGGTACAGTATTTAGTTTTCTTATTTAATTTTTAAAAAAATTGTCTAGTCCCTAGCAATTAAGCGTGAAAACTGCAAATGTCTAAGAGACCCTGGGGATCAAAAAATATCACATTATAACTTGAACAAACAACGGTTAAGAGCTGGCGATGTAGTCACAAAATAAAGCAGACTGAAAATACATTGCTGGATATGACCTTTGCTGCTATAAAACATTAATTAAACTTCAGAAGTTGGTAGTTACAAAGCAAACTATTACAGAGTTATATCAACAGAATGGGAAAATTAATTGTGCAGAAATGTCTCTTTATAAAGAAAGTGCAAAGTAAATGGAAAAGATGTGAAATGAGCCAATTATACATTTACTGCAGGCTCTTTTAAAGGCAGATGAACAACCTGGACCAAAGAACACAACACAACTACCAGCCAGAAAAATATGCTTACTGTAAAATGGGGAATATATACATATCAAATGAGCTATTTTGATTAACTTAACATATTAAAACCCCAACATATAATACTGTTCCTAAAGAGCTACAGTATTATATTAATAATGATTCTCTTCTTAAAGGAAAAAATATCATATTCTGCTCTTTACACTGATTATTTCATATGTAGGTTCAGCTATTGATGGTATCTGAAACACTGCAGGATTTGGCATAAAATTTACTATGACTATGTTAACTGACATTTTGGAGTATCAGCAGCATTATATTCTCTTAGGAAAAATCAAATTCTCTAGCCTATCTGGAAGGAAAAAGCCAGGGAAAACTGCTTTAGAATCATAAAATAAATCACTTTATTGTATGATAGTAGGCGCTCCCAGTTATTAACTGACTCTGGACCTCATAAATATTACAGAATCAATTTCTGAAAATAGCAACTCATAATGGACCTTGACAAAAGAACAACAGAGGGAAAGTAAGATTACTCCTATTTTAGCAAATAACCATTTGTAGACACTTTTAGAGTATTTCAGCAACTTGGGGGGGGGGGATTGTATTAAAAAGTAGAAGTCCAAAGGTAGAACATCATGTATAAAAAATACACACAAGAATATTTCACTGAATGAACCTATACTGAAGAGCTGCAAATAGCCAGTTTGCACTGAGTCATAAAACAAATAAGTATGGGAGTCAGATTTCCAGAAGATGGAAATGGATGTCACGCTAAGAGCTTCACAGATACCCTTAATCTGCTCTTCATTAGCGCTTGAACAAGAATGGCAGATGATCATATCAAGCTTGCCAGCTTATATTGTTGTCCATCCTTCTTGTTATTAACAATTAATTCCAAAAATTTATGCTGCCAAGAATGCTGCTCTATTCTGCACGTATACCTGTTTGTATTTCTGTAACACTAACATACAGTGGGGCAAAAAAGTATTTAGTCAGCCACCAATTGTGCAAGTTCTCCCAC